TGATAGCAGTACTTAACTGCTTTCAGATTCTTTCTCACAAAGTCTTTTCCTCTCCAGCAATCCAGTCCTAATACCTGCTTTGTCACGATGAAAAAGCTTAGGGGGATTTATAATTTGGCAAGGCACTGTATGTATAAGAAATTTGACACGGCTGTCTAAGCAATGAACTTAATTCTTTTCTTTCAAGGTTGATTTCCAGGCCATTGGCCTCAAAAAAGGTGAGTTGCTGAGCATGCTCTAGTAATGCCTCCTATTCAGTAATTTTCCTTCAATGATACATACATAACAGGATTTAGACTCTTGCATAGTTCTCACATTTTGTTGCTTCACAGTTTTCAAGTTTTGAAGTAATAATTAATATTAGTTAGCAAAGGAACAAGTAACAGGTTTACTCCATGCTCCACGGCCGAAACGTTTTCTTTCTTCTTTTTTTCAGCATGGAATAAACTTATTACTTGTTCCTTTGCAGCCTACGCATGCTGACGCAGCTACCCACCTGAATTAATATTAGTTATATGCACAAGTTACTCCACAAAGCAAAAATAAATAATGAAAAGTTCTGATTGCATAAGGATGACATAGTGGCTCAGTAGATAGTAATCTTGGACCTGGAGTGCTACCTGCTTGGATTATCATCTGGGTGTTCCATCTTTTTCCCCACTGTCTAAAAACATACTACTAGGTTAATTGGCTTCCACGAAAATTGGCTTGGTGTGAGTGTCTGCGTGTCTGTGTTTGTGTCTGCCCTTCGATGGGCTGGCGACACGTCCAGGGTGTTCCCTGCCTTGCTAATGGATGATTGCATAAGTATTCAAACCATTTGCTAAATTAATTTAGGTGAACAATATTACCTTAACAAGAAACAAAATTAGTTCTGTCCACTCTGTATGCAATAATAGTAGTTCACATGATTTCAGAATAAATCTACCTATTTCTGTAAAATCTCTCAGTTAGGTTGTGAAATTCAACTAAATATTCAACCATGCAGACTAAGGATATTTCAGAAGAACTCAGGCATAAGGTTATATAAATCCACAGACCAGACAAAAGGTGCACACATATTTCAAATACTTTATCTTACAGCATGGTGATGATGATTAAGAAGTGGAAGACACCTAGACTTTGTATAGATCAGATTACCCATCCAAACTGAGCAAGATAACATTGTGAACACAACAGAGAGTTTGAACAGGTTACAGAGTTCAGTGACTAAGGTGGGAGGAAATGTCCATAAGTCAATATCCTGGTCACTCCACAAAGGGATTTTGTGTGGAACTGACAGAAAGCACTTCAGATCCCATATGGGGTTTGCAACAAAACACCTACAGTAGGTGATATTGAAAATATGTGGCAAAAGGATTTGTGGTCAGACAAGACAAAAAAACTTTCTGGTCTATTAGCAAAGTGTCACATCTGAAGCAAACCTAACATGGAGCATCACTTAGCCAGCATCATCCTTACAGTTAGTATGGTGGCAGCAACATTATTTTACAGTTCTGCTTCTCATTGACAAGGATTGGAAAGCTGAAAATCTTCAATTTAATAATGCATTTATTCTATAATAAAGAAGCTCCTTGATATCTCTTGTTTTTGGATAGTACTTCATAACAATACTTTACCTTAATATCCTTGGTTACAAAGACATCAAGAATAAGTGTGCCAACTTCTTTAGCATTTTAGATTTTCAGTCTCTCCATTACTGGTCCTGTGAGGTACAGTACAGTATTTATGAACCACAGGCCTAATTTTTTTTTTTATTTGCCTTACAATATGGAGGAGTCTTTGAAAGTCACCATGTGTACACAGTAGCAGGCTGACACATGAGGGAAGTCTATACATTACATTCTTATTATGGCAAGTCTTTAGAGGTCTACAGAGATTACTCAGAAAAAGATATCCTTAAAGTCAGCTGTTGCAAAATCAAAAAATGTCTGAAAATTAAATGTGATGCAGGGATCTTTATAGAACCCTCCTTTCTTGTTGTGTTTGCCCAACACCATTACAAAATACAATGGCAAGACAATATGAGGAATGAACTATATGTTCTGTTTCATAAGAGTAATCCTTGTGGTACAGCACTTTTTATGCTCTGTTGAAGTGTCTCAACAGCTGGTTTGTGATTATTAACAGCCAGTATTATTATCCATGACAATAGTTGCAGTGCTATAGGTAGTGCAACCTACAGTACTGTATATGTACTCTAGTAAGGACTCATGTTTTACTTGCAGTGAGTTTAACATTTAAAATTTCAGCATTTCCATTTTAAAACCTAATGCTTTTCAATCTCAATTAATTCAATTAATTAATGTAATTAGTTAATTTCAAGTGGGACTATTTACATTAGTGGATTTTCTATGGTTATCATCTTGCAGAGAATGAACACTTTATGCACATCATCTTCTTCAGGTTATTGCACAACATTAGGTTATTACATAAAAATGGAGTGATATTGTATCTTTTCCACATGTCCTGTTTTTTCATGGGCCAGATACATTCCAAAGCCTTTTCCATTCACATGTATGACTGGTCCTGGCTGGAAATGAAAAATATAGATTTTGGTTCATATACAGTATCTACAACATCTCATTAATCATCTTCCCCCATGCTTATTTTGCATCTTTACAGTTTTACCACATTCTAGACATTATTTCCTTGTCTTGTCAGACGTTTTTGAGCTGCACCACTCTGCACCTGGATACATTAGTAACTTGCTGTTTCATATCCTTTCAATTTGAAATGAATTATTTTATTTCCTTTGCTTACCACTACCAAACCGTACCCACATGTAGAGAATGAGGTCCTGTGCATACTGTACATTCTTCTGATACTGCCACACCTGTCAGAGATATTTGTTATTCAGCATACTGCAAGACACATGCTGCCTTGCAGGAGCATTAGGACAGATTGGAGGAGTGGTGCATCTCTCTGAAGTGTTAATTGGATCCCTCTTGCTTGACAATCTGAGGATATCGTTGCAAGTTCAAACCTACTCGACCTCTACAAACTGCTTGCAACTACATGGAGAATTACTATCACAGCTGGGCTATTGGCATGGTGCAAATGCGGACCACTGACATCTGGACTATAGGGCTGAACGAGAAGAGACAAATCAGTCTGTCTAGCTTGTTTGAGCAGATAATAACTAATAAATAGATACAAATAACCCAGCCAGCCCTTTCTTGAAAGACAACAGGGTGATGGCTTCAACAATATGTCTAGGTAAAGAATAGCTTCTTGCTCGATTATAAAAGGACTTCCTGTAGTTTCCACTTGTTACCACTTTGGTTCCTGTTTCACTGTTCATTCTAAAGAAATGTCAGTGCCTTTGAGGACTTTGATACTTGTATCATGTCCCCTCATAGTCTTCTCTATTCAAGACTAAAAGGGTTAAGATTCTTGAACCTATCAGAGCAGGACATTCACAGAGGCTTTATAATGTATCTGGTTGCTCTATTCCGGACAAATTCCAGCAATATTTTTTGTACTATGGTGCTTAAAACTGTACACAATATTCTTAGGCCTTACTAGTGCATTATACAATGTAAGCATAACATCCCGCGATTTAAAGTCTATTCCTGTAACTACATACGCTAACAATGTTAGTAACATCTTGTTTGACTCTTTTATTTATAATGCTTCCCTGCATTATTTAAAAGATGTAAATAATGTGACAACGTAAACTCCTGTCTTTTTCGTACGTAGCCTCTTCTAGTTACAATTTTGTACTAATACTATAGATTTTTGCTTTTTGCAGGCAAAACTCTGCATTTCTCTACTTAAATTAAAATACCTCTTCTGGGTATTTGTGGAGTATTTAATTTTTTCTGAGAGAAAATCTTTACTTATTAGGCCATCTGGAAGCCCTGCTACAGAGATCTGATGTGGAACTGAAAGTGGCAGCCACCTGAGTGGAGGTTAAGAAATTATTTACCACTGATCTTTTAATAAGCTTTCTGCTATTTTAATTTCCTCCTCCTACTGTATATCACCTACATTAGCTGCCTTTCATTTTCTTTCAATATCTACTGATCACGGCCTACACTTTGACCTGCAAAAATCAACCTTTTTCACAGTTTCTCTCACTAAATATTATTGTTTGTGGAAACTAGATTGTGGATTCAACTCGAACATGAATGAAATGCCACTGTATAAGAACAGGCTGATGGGTGATGGGAAACACATGTCTGAGACTTGTAAGACTGAGTTATGTTAATAAGCAGAGACCTATTAAAGTGTTATGACACAATACACAAACTATGTGATAATGATAACATGCATATGTCCAATGATCTTTTTATATCAGTCTTAGACTGCAGATTGTTTTTCTGAGTATTTCACTCTGTCTGTTACTTTGTCGGTACTTCAGCAAGACAGGGGTAGATCCTGTTAATTTGAACAGCAGAGAAAGTGAAATATTTTTGCATAAAAACCAGCAATAGCATATGTACTGTATATATGAAACTGGGTATACAATGGAATTTTAAATGTACAAGATTTATTATTCACTTTGAAAAGGGTGATAATGAAATGTAAAAGTTAAATATATTTTGTAAAACTAATAAATCCTTATAATAAATCAATCCTTTCAACTTTTCTGATGCCCTATGAAAGATTCAAAGCAAATGACTTTACAGTAGAAGGTGCTAATACTTCCATTAATTTTTTACTGTACTACAGTACTACCTCTGATTCATTACTTGCAGATGTGGAAACGGATGAAAGGCCGAAAACGGCTTGATTTGTCCTGAACAGACAGGCCAGGGAATCAACTCTCTATTGGCTACGGATCACTCCTTGGGGGGAGGGAATGCTTTACTTTCTCGGAAAATGATTGGGTGTTTTGACTGTCACTTTAATAAAAAGACGTTCACATGTGGTAGTTTGGTAAGCTTTAAGTGGTGGTTTTGTCAGACGTTTGCAGGCCATGGGAGGGGCTGTGTTTCCATGACAATGACGTCAATATCAGTGTCGGGTAACTAAAGGTCAAATTAAAGACAAGAGAGACGGAAGGAAACAGAAACAGAATGGCGGAGATGAGGAGTCTAAACTGGGTTGTAAAAGCCGGAGGAAAACACGTAAATTTATATTAAAATGGGGCTGGCGTGAAGCTATATGCCTCAGTTAACTGGGATTAGGAGATGGAGGTTGCGGTAAGGATTCAGTGAAGTGTTCTAGGGGAGTTTTCAGTCTTCGTCAGGTTTAGTTGCAGAGAAAAGCTTTAGTTAGCCCGAGGGACTTTGCTTACTTTCTTATACTCATTTAAACAAATGCATCACATGTCTAATATTTACTCCTTTTATTTTTTTTGTACAGAAGATATATAGTTAACAGTTTCACTGCAAGTCCTTCATTCCTGTTCCTTTCAAAGTCGTGCTTGTTGAGGACAGTCAACCAGAGGGATATTTTTTTTTTGTGCACAGCACTGCGAACTGCGCTGTTAGTAACTCTCTCTAAAGTTTGGGCTAATTCAGATTAATTGAATTTGCGGTCATATTGCTGGATCTGTTGAGATTTTAAGATTTTTTTTTTCTGACAGAAGCGACATTGGTTGCCCGTGTTGTACATGATGACCTGGTTCAGACTGGTAATAGTCCAGAGTACTGTCGCTAACGTAAGTTTCCGTTTCATCCTGAGTGAATTATCAAACTATTTAAGCAGCGTTTCAGTGATTTGACTTTGTAGGGATTGGCTTTTGCATTGGTCTAATTTAATGTGATTGATCGACTTTCCTGTTTCTAATGCCATTTAAATATGTGTGTTTTTTTTTTGCTTCTGCGTTGATTGTTGACCTTTGAACAAGTAGTGATCCTTAGCACAGCTAAACAAACGGAGAACGTGGGGCTTATCTCGGTTTCTTTAATCCCCCTTGTTTGTCTTTACGGACGGGAACTGGAAATCCAAATATTTGTGTTTCATTAAAAATGAAAATGCATTAAAAAAAAACCAACTACCGAATGGCCTTCGTAATATCCCTGATCTTTAGTAGTTGGCCAACAGCTGTAATGCGGGCTACACCAAGTCCGAGCAATGTCACTCCTTTTTCAATGTCGAGGACCCGATTAAGGCTTGTTTACATTCCTTCTTAACTGCTGCATATCCTGTGGAAAAGAAGAGTTCCGTCTTGCTCATTCAATTTATGAGGAAAAGAGCAATTTCCCCATCATTAAAATTTAAAATGCACGCAAAAAAAAAATGTCCTGACGCTCGATTAAAACACTTAGCGCCAACAGTTAACTTTCTGCAGCGGTTACCTTGCTTCTCGCATAATTTACCATATCCCGGTAAAGCAGAATGTATTTTTGTTTAGGTGTTTTTAGAGATGGAGACGCATCGCCCTCTGCTTCCGTTTAGTGTAAAAAAAAAACGGCCCAAACGTTTTGTAACGTTAACCATCCGAAATTGGGTTGCTGCCTAGCGTGGAGCTCAATATATTTTACATATTTTGAATTGTATTCGGCTACGTTTCATTTCCCGGCTATACCTAATCATGAGTCAGGGTAAATTCTGCTTTGATGTAGGTCAGTGCTTGTGTAGTTGTTGGGCATGAGGTGAACTGCTTTAGCTGTATGAAATCTGGCAAGACACAGCCACGACTGGTTGTTGGTCTAATTATCTTCTTTAGTAAGATCTGGCTTTGTTGAATTATGGAGATGTCATTCAAAAGATTATGGCGTTGATATCTCCATAGGTGGGACCATCTTCTGTGGATCCAGAGGTCAGGAGTTTAGCCGTTTGCTTAGGGAATTGTTTTACCCTGCTGTCCCCTGCCATTGTATGGAAGGACCTTAGGCTGTTGGAGGGTCTTGGCTTTTAGACAAGATTGAATTAATACTCCCATCTGCTCTGTGGGTGTTACAGATTTTACGTGGTTAAGAACAACAGTTGTGTTGACCCCTTTGACCTGGCTCAATTCCCCTCAAAAGCTTTTTATTTTTTTCCCCCATCAAGCACGGGCATTGTGACTGGGCCTTTGGAAACGGCGTTCAATTGAGCTATTAATCCATCCATTGATCCAGATAGCTACATTTATGAAGGACATTGAAATGATAATGATTGAACCTGTTGTCCCGCACTGGTTAAAGTTCGCCTTGTGCTGTGATCGTTTTCTGTTTCGTTGTTAAGTAGTTAAAAACTTGAAGTCTGTTTTGTTGAGAGGAGTGCCAGTTTTGTGTTTTGACCTTACCCCTGGCCCTTAAATTTAATTAACTAGATCCTGCATTTGATAATGTGCATGGTGCAGTTACTGTAAATCTTAACAGTGCTTTCCTTAAGTTTGAACTTGATAGAAACCAAGAAAGAAAACGATAGTAATTTTAAAATATAGTTCATAACTTTACTTTTTGTATGGATTCTGGTAAGGGACTTTATATGATGTTTTTAGTGACAGCATTGCACATTTTTATCTTCATTTGTTATAATGTGAAAGTGTTTCAGACCCAGACATAAGCTGTAAAGTGTTGACGTAGAAGTCCAAGCTAATTTTGTGGAGTGAGGATTGTACATATTTCGTAACATGCTAACATTGAAGATGGAAAAATATTTTTTCAGATTCCTGCATATTTAAATTTGATTACTATTTCAGAAGTTAATATTGACACTGAATGAGAAGTATTGTCACTAAATAGGCTTAATGATCACATTTTGGCATTAGTGAGCACTTTTCCAACCTAGTAATTAAATAGTTGATAAAATGTCTTTTACCTGAGAAAGCATGTGAGATAGTGACTTAATTGTCTTTCTGTTTGCCTTATCCCTTTTGTCTGTGTTGTCCTGGAAACTGGACCTTTCACAGAGTGTGATGGAAAGTTGTCAGGTGTTGAACTTGGTTCCTAATTTGGAGAGCTGCTTCTTTCCCTGTATGATTTCCTAGCTCAGGATTTGAGTTAATTTTTTCACTTTTGTGAAAGGCCTTATAAGTGCTGTCATGTTCTTAAGGTGCTATCGCTTTTTTTTTTCCCAATGGTACTGTAACAGTTTAAGTGTATTATATGGGATTATTGCAAGTGTTATGTAGACATTACACATACGTAGAACTGTGATGACACAGGAGCTGTTACCCTGTTAAACTGAGGCTAGAATAAAGCTACAGTAGCCAGCTAGATGGACGTTTATGTTAAAAGTGTATAAAAGTTATTCACTCAGGGAAAGATTGATCATGCTAATATGTAAGTCGTCACTGTCAATCTGTTTAACCCTCCTATTTACTGTGCTGCATTGGCACTGGATGTCAGGTATTCAGTGCTACAGTAGCAGTTTAAATTATTTTTTCTATGTGAATGAGAAGAATCCTGATCTGTTGAACTGCTTAGTTCAGTTTCAGAGAACTCTGTCATTTGAAATTAGTCAGAGTTAACGGGGGGGTCAGAGTGGCATGGTGTTTCCTTCACAGCTCAAATGTCCCGGAACACTTAAATATTTTTCAGAGATTTGTTTATATAATTAATGAATGAGCCAAGCTGCAATGACAAACTGCACTTTGTGTTGGAAGTATATAGTATGTATAAAAATGCTGACCTACTTTAGGATAGACTGTTGGAGCGACAAAATGTGTCCATGGAAACTGCTTGCACTTAGGCCTACCTCATTAACCTTAGCCTTACCCGTGAATGAATCTTAGATCATTTACAGATGTCTGTCCTAGTTAGCAATGTTAGAGTGGAACACTGGTGCTCCTTAAATAATGGATTAGGCCAAACATTGGAAAAACTGCAAGAAGAATGAAACTGAAAAAAAATTCCATAGTGCCTGTCAATGGCTAACGGCAAAATGCATGTATTATAATCCAAAGCATTTGTAGAAACTATTATTTTATTTTTAACACCATGTTAGTATATTTAAGCTTCTATTGATTGATACTGAGATCATCCTTTTACAAACAAAGCAACATTTCATAAGTATGTTTGTATCCTTCAACACTGAGTTATACTAGGAGGAATAATTAAAAACCTCTGTGTTCTTCATTGCCCGTATTTCATGTGATTTTCTTGTATCCCTTTAAGTGATTTGTTAATTTTCAAGAGTGAAAGAAGAGGAGTAGTACTGTTATACTGGATTTAAAAAAAAAATCAGTGTGAATAACATAAATTGAGCAGTATTGCCTACAATTTTGGCAATGTTATAATTCCAGATGTTTCCATTGTTGGATTTGCACTAGTAAAACAATGTGGTGTAGGGCAAAATCTGAAAAATGAATGCATAGTGAATTTTTTTAAATTTGATCTGCATTAAAATGTTTGCTGCAAGTTATATGGTGGAACCTGAAAGTGCACTGTCAATTTAAATACATTTGCCATGGTTTGTAATGTAAAGTTGTGAGCTTATGCTGTATGATGCTTTGGCAGTTTTCCAAATAACCCTAGCAAAAAGGCAGTACCTTCACAGAAACATACTCAAGTAATAAATCACCAGCATATAATCATTGAAATGTACACACAGCATCTTATCATTGGTCAGTTTGCTGTCCATTAATTATTCGTTATGTTGCTACATTTTGCTAAAATACTTATTTTTGACTGTGGAAAATTTACAATACTGACATCTTCATTTCCAGCAAACAGTAATTCAATATGTGGACTTCAACTATATGTAAGTTTCTTTATTGTTCTTTCCATACACGTTCAGCAATTTTGTGTTGCTGTGTTCCTGGAATAAATGCTTTGCTCCAGCTTTTCTGTTCTGTACCATAAATTCCTAACTCACCTCAGCGGTGTAGTTTCCATTGCAGGTTTCCCTCCATCTGTTCGCTTTGATTTTTTTTTGTAGACTCAGTGTGCACCTTGTAAGTACCTGCTGTATGAGAGATAATGTTGTAGGTAGCCCTTTGCTTGAGAAGTGCTTTTAGGTTTTTCTCTTTAGTAAAGTAGTTCTTTCCTTAAGAAATGCTTAAGAAATTCATTTTTGTTCTCTTAAGTCCATCCAGTACTGATGTGAGATGAATTCAAAACATTTGTGGTTATCTGCTGATAAACATTGCATGAGGAGGGTAAACAATATTATGATGCACTTGATTGTAACTGTAATGCTGCAGACATAGATGTGAATGACTTTATTTTGATTTAAGGTGGTCAATTTTTAAACCATTACATGCGGATCACCTGAAGAATTCTGCTGTTCTATCATTTTGCTCAATGTGTTGTTGACTATTGCATTGAAAATTGTGAAAGTATTCTTTTTGCTCAGTGTTTTTTAGCACTTTACATTCAATGACTGTAAATACCCATGCCACATGAGTCTAATGTGTAATGTCTACTAACACCTTTCATGAAAAAGGCCTTTTTCTTGGGCAGAAGCTTGAATATTTTCTGAGAGGTTTGTCCTGTATTCAGTCAGCTGTGAATTGGCTGAGACGCTCTAAACATTTTTCATCAGATGGTCGGTGTCTTCTCTTGAGGATGGATCAAAGTTAAGTTGCTGTTAATGCTCTGAGCAGCTTGTAAGTGATAAACTAGGACAAAATCTGTTTTTAACATTAGTCTTTCTCCCATAACTGAAGGACTGTTATTAATCTGAAATCATAATTTCAGCACTACTAGTTTCATTACAGTAGATGTGTGAAATGTGAAAAAATCGTTTTTACTTTAAAAAAATAAAGGATGGGCAAACCATTGTTTTGTGTTTATGGTATAAAATTATTACATTTATTACATTTAAATGTCTATTTTTTTGTAGTGAACATTTGAATGTTGCTTTGAATGTTGCTTAATTGTGTAACACTTAAAAAGCTTTAATAAGCCATGTATCACTGAATTAATGACTTAACAGAAAATTCAGGAACTCTTGAAAACCTTCAAAACTATCTCTAAGACATACTTTTGTATTGAGGCTTTGTCTGTATCTTTTTGAAGTCTGTGAAAGCATGTATATTTCAAGATAAAAGTAGTTAAAAGTATTTTTGGAAATTTAAAATTTACAATGGAATCAGAAAAAAAAGGCATAATAGGAACTTTTCATTGTATCTGATAATAACATTCCACATATAAATATACAGAATAGCGTCCTCTGGCTATACTTTTGTAACCATTCTTATTTCCTTACCAAAAGGTGGGGGAGATGAGACGTTGAGGAGGTGAATCTGAAGTTCTGCAAGGTATGGACGCTTCTGCAAAATGGGGTTTTAGGTTTATTAGGTGAAGGAAGACGAGTATTGTAGGGAGCTTAATTGTCATATCTACAATTCTGGAGGTTAATAAGGAATTTAAACTTGGTAGTCTGGTACTGTAAACATCCCCGACTGGAAGCTGTAAAATAACATCTGAGCTTTCAGTCAGATGTTTGCTGCAACCGGCTGCTTTCAGCTCCTTGGATACAAATGGGCATGATGACAGTTATTTGACCTTAAAACTGTTGTCTCTTTGTATCTACTGTGATGGTTTTATAATGGTCTATTTCTGTTTTTGGTTTTATTCTTGTGGCATTCTTGTTTTTTATGTTGGAAAATCTTTGGCCTAGTGTAAACTAGGTTATACAGAAACATACATAGAATTTAGATTTCCACAGTGAAGCAAACCATTAATTTAGGCATGTTTGAGAGTTAATGAGTTGTAACTGATGTGGTTAAACATTCCTGGGTATCTCATTTAAAGATTTTATTAAAATATGATTATATGCATGATAAATACAGCATATGAGATGATTCAAAAGTTTGGTTTCAATTGTGAGAGGTTTTCCACATTCACAGTGTTTTATGCGTTCTGCAAAGTGTACACGCATTGTCCACTTTGAATGCATAAAAAGTAACATCGGAATTTCGAGATTAAAATTGCTTCATGTGGAAAAAATTCTTCACGGTTTTTATATTTCAGGTGGTTTTCGTTGAAGAAGATGGATTCTCACGTGGAAATAGTTGCTTGTGAATTGCAGGTGAATCCAAGTCATAGTTAGTGTAAACATCCTACACTCAGCTGTAACTTCAAAGTAAAGGCTGGGAGAAGGGTGTTTACTTTGACTAGTTTGGAAGAACGTTTATGCAGCAAATAACATGAAGTGAATGCCATATATCATTGAAATAGAAAAAGTTATCACTTTATTACATTTTATCCAGCGTTTTTGAAATCAGTCATACTGACAGAGTAACACCATACATTCTCCCTTTTTATCATAGGATTCTCATGTCCTACACGGTGCTCAATACCATCATCCATCAATTTAAAATAAAAAGAACGTATCAAGAGGTGAAAAGATAAGGAGAGAGTGAAACCCAGATTGTGCATTTATTTAATGGGTGTAACAATCCTGGAATGATGTCTACAGCAGGGTTTTGAGCACAGAGATGAAACTGACCCAAAAACGCAAGGTTGAGTTAAGATGGAAACTGGTTTGCTTAAACATATGTTGGTGTTGTCTGTCTGCTTAAGCAGTTTTAAGTAACTATCCATAAACCACTGGCTCATTTTGGTTTTAGTCTTGGCAAGAACACAATGTAGAAAGGCAATATGAATGAGCTTGAGTATCCTTGCACCTGGGTACTGTAAGATTGATCTTGTTTGCTCCTGTGCTTCTGGTACACAATCTATTACTGAAGTTCATAGTCTTAACTTCAAGGAGACAAAATACAGACCGCTATTGTTTTACATTAGGAATGAGTTAGGTATCTAGCTTTTCAGTCAAACAAGCCTGTTTGCATTTTAGGTATTGGGTGATTGATATCCTTAAACAATTGATTCATTATGCGCATTCACCTTAATACATAAATTCTGTCCAGCAGCTTAGTCTGTATATCAGCATACAAATTCATAATTGGTATTTCAGTACCAGGCATATTGATTGCAGTATCTTACAGATTTCATCATATTTCTTTTTTCGTGTGTGGAGGAAGGATTACTATTCATATTAAATACTGTTTTTCTTTTCCTTTAAAAGGACAGCTGTGTCGGCTCTTACTGCCAAAGAGGATCCAATCTGCTTATAATAATTTATTTCTATTTTTCATAGGTGCAGATAAACACTATAGAAGCTGCTTTTTTAATTATCTTGAATAATCCGAATGTTCTTCACGAACTAAATCAACTATAGAATGTTATTGGGGAGTAGATTGTTATATAAATTACCATCATAGAGACATCATTTAATTAGTTTCTAATCAATCCATATATTTTCTTTCTTCTATGAAAGATTAGGTTATCCAGGGAAGGACCCCTTTGAATTACAGGGTGAACTCACAGTCCAGACATAGCTAGTTCAAGCATGGGCTATGTAATTATCCAACTGAAACTGGGACTTCTAAAGTGCTGTGCACAATACCAGGCACCACAAGTGTTGGGTTTGTAGTCAACCAAGATATTTTTGTCTTTTTCAAACAGACATGCTTGTGTCTTGCCAGGTACTGTTGTGCCTGCAGTGTTTTTAGTAAGATCCTCACTCTAATGTCATAGCATTACTGTGGACCTGCACTGGGAGGAAAAGAACACCAGATAACAGTACATGTTTTAGAATGCCTTTTTTTAATCTATCCAATACTAAAATAGGGTTTGAAGCAGTGATCCAAATGGATTAAGAGCTACCAATTCCAGATTACTGGGAAGGGAAAAACCCGTCTGGATTAAATTGTTGGATATGTCCTTCAAGGCATTGTAAATGTAAAATAAATACTGGAATTTATAGAAAATGATGCAGTTTTGATGGACTATGATAATAAAAGTAAAGAATATTTCCTTTTTTACTATTGTATTTCTTATTTGCTTAATGAATGCAGTATTTACACTTAGTATTGTTTTGAATTTTTGATACTTTTAAAAAAACGTCAATAAAGATTTTGAGAAGTGCCTTTGACTCATTAATTCACTTACAGACTTCATTTTATGAAACAGTGATACTGGTTTTCAACAATGAACACTTTTGAAATCAACTATACTGAAATTTATAGAATAAAAGAGGGATATTTATCAAAGATCTTCTGAGCTTTGAATTTTATGGTGAAAAGTAAAGAAGATGACTGCATCCAACTGGCCTCTAGACATTGTAACCTTTGTTTATACCATGAGAAACTGATCTTATTAACATATTCAGTTTGCACCAAAATTAATTTACAATTAGCTTTGCACCCAAATCTCAAATTCTGTGTTCATCCATTTAGTAAAATGCTGTATCGCAAATACTTCGCTTTATTTCCTTTTTCCCCCAAAAGAGATATGCTGTTTTCTGTTAGCAGACCATTTCGTGTTCAACATTTTCAGCTACAGAAAAAAAAAAACATGCATTCATCACCTCAGTGAAAATTCAGTGGGGATTTTAAAGTAGATCCATTTCCTTCAACACATTGAATTACACTTGATTTATTTCTACATTTTGTTGAAAGGCAAAGAGCTTTTTTATTTATGATATTCAAATCATATCTTCTTCTTTACTGAGGGGAAAACTAGTGTAAAAAAATCTATTTCAGGAACTATTCTTGTAATTGGATATTTTTCTTAAATGACAATTCATTTACTCAAAATAGGCATCAAAGCTTGTTTCACTTTATGATAATTATTTTAGCCATAAAGTTGACTTTTGAAATAAAAACTTGAGTTGCAGTTCTGGTTCTAATTCAGATATGTAATATAACAGTTCGGTCCTCTGCTTATCCAGCTGGCAATGATTACCCATAACATGATGTTAATGTTCTGTTGCTTTTTAAGAAACCGGATATGTGATAACCTAACTTTTTTTTCCATTTAAAAAATCTTACAAATTGAGTAAATAATGTCTGATTGGGTGTAATTATTTTAAGATGCATTTCATTTTATAATCACAAATTTTAGCGTCTTCACAGTTCTTGGTTGCTTGCATGATGTATGTATAGAGTATAGAAATTAACAGTATTTTTTTTCTTTTTTACAGTGCTAAGATTTCTTTTCCACATCTAAAGTTAAAGCTCTGAAAGGTACTTGCCCTTTTTAAAGCTTGTTAGTGGAGAATACTTTGATCAACATTATGAAATGTCAAAAGCTAATCAATGTTCAGACCCATAAAACATCTGAACGTATTTTTAAAACACACCATCTGCACAAATATTTTGGGTTTTGGGGGCTATACTGGTTATACTAAAATGATTTGTGAAATATGCATAGATCAGGATGTTGGTTAGCACAATTGCCTCACAGTTTATAGATTCTGGGTAAATGCCACTTGGAAATGATTGATGGTTTCCTGAATGCATCACCCTGTATGGACAAAGTTCTGGGACTTTCCTATAGACTCATCCCAGTGTGATATCATTCATGTAGGAAAACACATCCTTGTATTAGTTGTATAACATGGGTTTACTTCCAAGATCAGAATGAGTCATGTTGTATATACCTGACTTGTCAGTCTGGAGCTCCAGTCAAGTCTGAGATGAGCTGGAATGATTTGTGGCAGTGAACAGGTACATGCATCTTCTAATTGTACAAGGAGAATGGGGCAGAACCTCAGAAGACAGCATCTGCAATCTAATGAACAACACTCCTGTATGTCTTTTCTATAAAATGTGAGTTTGCCTGGAATAAAAAAACAAATCCTGATAACTTTGTAAATTTGTTGCACTTGTATGCTTTTATTAATATACCAGTATAGTAAATGACATAATATACATGCTTAAAGATAAGTGAAATAATCGAGCCAAAAGCTGCTTCCTTTATAAATCCAGATTGAAATGAAATCCATCTGAAACATCTCTTAGAACAGCTTTATTATGGAAATCACAAAAAATTAAAATAGATATATATTGTTTTTTTCATGAGACATTTCTCTTGCACTTTCCCATGTGTAATGCCTCTCAGGAATGCAGAATATTTTAGAATTCTGCCTACAGTTCACATACAACTTCAGTAGCTCACACTGAAAATTTAGGAACGGAGCTTTTTATAAATGCCTAACTGTCACTATAAATGTCAATGGTCACTATATTGTTTTCTGAGTTTGAAAGGTGAATTTTGATTACTCATTGACAATCTAATTAGAAATTATCAAAGTTGTATCAAGATTGATCCAAACCTGGCATATTAGTAGCTTCCTGGTTTATAGTCTCCACCATGGCAGTGTTTTTTTAGAGACTTGGGTATTTTTTTATTGATACTCTCTAGCATAAAAGAATGGAGAAACAGTACTGAAGAATACACAGAAAATCTGAGGCATTCTAAGATTGAAAACTTTTGCTATTTAATAATGATCACAACGAGTAAATGGAATATTTCAGTTATAAATATAAATAAATATCATGTTTGTAAAGTAATTACATGGAGTTTTTTCAAAGACAACTTAAAAGGTTAAAAAAAATGAAGTTTACACATCCAGTCCATAGAGGTCGCGCTAGAAATATACTCTCTCTGAAAGACTCTCACCTTAACCACGGTTTCGTCAAGGAGACTGTATTCGCCATGTCTGATATCGCAGATTCGCCAGAAACGTTCACCAAAACATTTTAAATAAATATAATGTAAACTAAATTAAGATCTAATACGATAAAAAAATGACAACGCTAGCAGTCAATACTGAAAGGATTTAGTTTTTATTTACAAACCATGGACTTTTTGAATGCAGGTAGGTGTTTAAATTGAATATGTTTTTTCCGTTGCAGCTACATGCCGAGGCAAAGGTAAAAGTAGCAGGCGGAACGGGTGCATCAAGGGATATGTTTGTTTATATTGTAGATTATAAATTATATATTAAATGTTGTCGTTTTTAAAATTGTATTGGGTTTACATTTCCAGTACATATCAATATGTATTTATTTCAATAACCATATAAGGTTATTTTAGTGTGACGTCCTGAATTTCTAAGGAAAGTTGTCTCTAAAAATGCTAGTTTATATGACACCGACTGGGGGAATGATGATAGCTTTCGAAATTTTTAATGAAATTATTTCCAGTTTTTGGCGTCCATAATAGTGAGATAAAGTACCACTTTTATTTTAGCGATTGCTTGGTTATTTTAACTGTAAAAATGTCTCTAACTTTTTAACATGTAACACGTGATGGAGATGGAAATGTGCACTTTGCGCTACCTATATTTTATCATCCCCCGTGTTTAGATAGCGTACGTCATAGAAACAAGCTCAGAGTCTATAAATTCATTAATGTACTTTAGTGTATGAATACATTTATTTCAATAATCGCCCCCTAACATGAGTTTTATAAAATGTGCACGTTTAGCAGTCTTAGGTATGTGGTCTCGCAGACAGATTATTCTAATGTAACTTCTACAGTACAGCAAAGATAAATTCTGGAAAATGATTTGAAATAAACGGTTTGGTATTTAATTGTTTAGAAAGGGAAAGATGAATGACGATTGTCATGTTCCAAAGAGCTTGTATATAAGCTTATAATTAAGACCATTATAGACTACTAGAGACATACTGTTTTGTTTGCTATATAGAGCTACACAATCATTTGAGATTGCTAGTCACCCTGGTCCTGGTTCAGTCTTAACTTCATATTTAAGCATGTTGTCTTTTAGTACCCACCACATTTGTTGCTGATTGAAATAAAATATATTTGGAATATATTTGTGTGTCTGAAAGGTGGGAGGATCACCTGGAACATTTACTGGAATCCCACACGTATAAACCAAAAATCCTTATAAATCATAAAGATGTAACTTAAATTACAAATTGCTTATGAGTCCTTTTAATTTATTATAATCATATCTCCTATTCCAACTCATTGTTGCCATTGTGTAGCTACATTTTTCTGTTTGATTTAATGACCCCACAAAAAAACCTTGGGATTACATTATCAAATAATCGACCTGTCTGTAGAAATGTGGGAAGAGAATAACTTGACCTTTGTTGGGCTTATTGAGGAGGATGTGAAGGACTTGTGTTAAAGTATTTGACTTGATATTCCATTTCCTTCACAGTTTAATACATTTATAAACATAAATAACTCATATTGCTGTTGTTTTAGGTCAATAATTAGAGATCAACAGACACACTGACAACAGACAACAGAAATGTCTTATTTCTTACTGTTGCTATCTTCCAAAATGGTTTCTTGCAAAGACCTAAAACACAAGTTCTCTCTCTGCTAGCATCTTTGTTTTTTCTCTTCTATTGGAGGAAGTTTTTGTAGAGCACAGTGTATTCGGTCTTTGTTCCAAACTGAACAGTCATTTAAACAACTTATGTACTTAGACAGACACTTACATAACAGGTTGAAGTAGTTCAGGTGGGCAGCTGCGTCAGCATGCTTAGGCTGCAAAGGAACAGTTGATCACTCAAAATGAATTTTCATCGAAGATACAGTTACTGATGCTATAGAGAGTGTGTAATTAATAATAATTAATTAATAATTGCTTATACTTATATCGCGCTTTTCTGGACACTCTACTCAAAGCGCTTTACAGGTAATGGGGACTCCCCTCCACCACCACGAATGTGCAGCATCCACCTGGATGATGTGACGGCAGCCATAGTGTGCCAGAATGCTCCCCACACACCAGCTATCAGTGGGGAGGAGAGCAGAGTAATGAAGCCAATTCATAGATGGGGATTATTAGGAGGCCATGATTGGTAAGGGCCAATGGGAATTTTGGCCAGGATGCCGGGGTCTTTTTGAGAAACACCCTGGGTTTTTTAATGACCACAGAGAATCAGGACCTTGGTTTTATGTCTAGATGTACTACAGTTGTGCAGTTAAGTAATTAAACCAACCATGTAAGTGACAGGTGGACCAAAAAACAGAAGACTCTGAGCTTTTTTTAGAGCTCTGTTTAAGTGTCCTGTACTAGGAGCACATAGCATTCACCTTTAGAGGTGAATGTTTAGAGGATCTAGTTGTCTTGAAGTTCTTGACATGTTCTTGAGATGGATAAGAAAAATCTTCATATTTGCCTTTATGCTCTAGGGTATTGCTTGGAAACTATATAGCAGAAAACAGTGTTATTTCTAGGCATATACTGTTGAAACATATCTGGTACCTGTGCTGTGTCATGAACTGTTTAAGGAAATATGGAACATCCTCATCTTCCTGTGGAAGGGTTGGTTTGGTGATGAAGCACCAGCAGAAATAAACATCTTGAGGAGGAAAGCTCTGAGTTCGCCAATTTAGAATTATTAATTCATTTATGAGATCCATCTTCCATCCATTCATTTTCTAGCCAGTTTATCCAGTAGACACAGGACTGCCAGAGTATATCCCGGCAAGCAATAAGGCAGGATATATCTTGAACAGGATGCCAGTCTATCACAGGGCACAAAAGACACAACACCATGGTCAACTTTCACAGAAGTCAATTAATCTACCAGTATGTCTTTGAACTGTTGGAGAAAGCCATTGCACCTGGAGGAAAACCCATGCTAACACTGGGAGAACATTAAAAACTTCACTCAGTATCTCAGGAATGGAACACAGCATTGTGAGGCATCAATGCTAACCACTGTGTCACTGTACTACCCTAGTTTACAAGATACATTTAATTAAGGTCAGGAATACTGGGGGAGGGGGGGGGGGGGGTTGTTCTTGGTTTATGTTAGGGAGATAAAAAGGTGCCCATCTATTCAGTGTGCATTTTCAAGTTTTTCTGTGAGGTGCTGTTATTGCATTTCTTATTTCATTGACATATTTTTTTTAAGAAAGGCAACTAACCTGAACGAAATATAATATTTATAAGAAATACTGAGAGAAACATTTTGCATTGTTTATCATTGTATATTTCGTAAGTCATCCTGGATAAGTACATCTAATAAGCAAATTCACAGTAATAGAAATAAGAGTTCTGAAGTTATATTAAATAATTTATTTTTTGTGATACTACATGATTTTTGTGATGGTAAAAAAAAAAGTAGTAACAGTAGTAGTAAGACTTCTAGTACTGCTATTATCATACAACTCTGTCGAGATGTTGGTTTGTGTCCATTTATGTAAATCAATCTGTAAATGTCCTTTGTGTTTTGAATTAACCAATAGTGATTTGGGTACATAGATTTTTTTGGAATAAATGCACAAAATAATATGCACAATGTAATTTGTGTTAATCAAAGTGTTTACACACTGGTAATCTTAACGGTATCGTTACATTTCACAGGTGGTGTTTCTATCTTCATGTGCAAGATCTGCAACCTCTTCTCTCCTAGTCAGGCAAAACTTCTTACACATGTCTCAGAGAAGCACACAATTGAGGGTCTCAGTCCTGATGAAATCATTGTACCTCTTAGACCTTTATCAACAACCACCCAATCTGAGAAGAGTGGAGGTGAGTGGTGGCGAGAGACTGCTTATGAATCTAGAATTTAATTAACATTGTATATTAAATACTAGTTCAATTTCTATTGTCTTTTTAAATACTAGTGCAGTTTAACTACTACATTCCTTCATACTTGTCGGTCTTCGAGCTCAGACCTTGAAATTACATTTAAATGTTAGCATTCTGCTTCCTGACATGCTGTTTAATACATTGAAATTAGGTTTCCTGTACAAAACAGTCTATTTTCTAACAACAGCTTTGATTTTTGTGCATGCTGACGTATTCTCCTTCTCCAAAAGCATACTTATGCAATTCAGTCACATCAGTGGGTATTGTATTGTGGAAACATTTTACTTCCTACTGTATTATAGATACTGAATCATAATCCTCAAGAACAGCAGGGAGCTTTGGTTTCGGTTTGATCTGAGCTCTTTCTATTGTTTTTTTTTATGATATCCACCACTTTGGAATTGCCTGTAGTCTCATTATGTCTCATTTTACAGCAGTAACTCCTGTACCCAGTCATAAAGATTAAGGAAGGGGCAAAGAGGCTCCTTTGACCCACTCAACCATTTATCCATATATAATTTGACATACTTTAAACTGTGATACAGCTAACAGCAGGGTTAACACTGATGGGAGGAGTGGGGAGGTCACATGGGTCACTGTTTAACCAGAAGGTAAGAGAGCCCTGGCCAACTAATCTTAACTTTATCACCGAGCCAATTGTCTGCCTGTGATAAGTGTGGTTCTGCCCTTCCTGGAATTTGATCACACTTAATCGCAGGCAACAGAGTCCTACTCCTCCAAGAGTAAAGTGTGGACTGTGCCAAAAAATCAGATCTCCAGCTGTGGGAGAATTGTATGCTATATAGATTCGAGGTTAGTGAAATCAACTTCTCTAATGACCATGGTGCCTTTATGTCCTGTTAAAATGCTGCCACTTGACGAGTCCTGGTTACAAATGACTGGTGACATGACTCAAAGTTGGGGCATCAGAATCCTGGAGTCAGACCTGCGCTCGGAGAAACCATGAGTTAACTCTGCCATGTTGAATCACTGAATCACTCGATTGATCAGTATTGAAATGGGGTTTTTAAGCATCCATCTTGCATGCATGTACAGTGTGTGTATATATATATAGGATCTGAAAGTTTCATCTCTAGGACAAGTACTGGCCATGTCCACTATAGGTTAATTCTATGAAAAAAACCATCTTTGAAATGTTTTGACAAATGTATCCTATTAGCTGTTTCTGTTTGCACAAATAACATTTAAGCCTCTGTGCCCTTAGAATGCACCGTTAAGAGGAAACGAGGCAGGCCCAAGGGGTCGACTAAGAAGTTCTACACAGAAGGAGAGCTTTTGGAAACGAGTGGCCAAGGAAGTCAAGAAGCACAGGCCGAGGCAGTTGAGGAGGTGGAGTCTGAGGATAGCAGCACTTTGGAGTGCAAGAAATGCAGTCGCAAATTCTGCAACAAGAGACAAATAAAGAAGCACATCTGCATTATAGGACTGAAGGAAGAGGGTGAAGAGGAAGAAGACAATGGTATTATTGCATCTGCTGTAGTATTGATGTAATGACACCTAAAGAAGGCTCCACAGCCGAAACAGTGATTTTCCTCTTTCTTTTTGCTAAAATTAACCTGTTCCTTTGCAGCTTGTACACTGACACCATGCTCCATGCTCTAACCTTTCAATTTAATGATGTTTCCTTTCTCAGTTTGTGATTTTTTGAAAAGGCATTATACAGGAAAAATACTTAAGTTGAGAAAAAATAGTATAATAATGAATATTTTTCAATTATACTTGAACTTATTTGAAACTTTATGAAATAGAATTGCTTCAGATACATTTTTAACACTTAAATGCTGAACTTGTGGTAACATTTGGATTAAAGATTACATGACCAATAGCATTTAAGAATGCCTATAATTTTTGACCGTATAAAGCAAAACTATTTCCGAGACTAGAGTAGCCTGCTCTGGTGCTGATCCAAGCCATTTATACATTTATTTTTGTTGCCATTTATTGAAATAATTGTGGGATAAATAATTATAAAATGTGCAAGTCCTTGGATATTTGAGAACATGGGAACTCCTGATAACACTAATTCATGATTCTTGCAACTTCTTACTATACAGTAAATCAAAAGTCAAGAGTGAATTCTCTAATGTGTCCTGTTATCATTTATGCCTGTCCTAGACAATGACCCTGATGTAAAGCTGGCTTTAGAAGACGGAGAAGAAGACAGGGAAAGGGCTCCAAAGAGGTCACGGGTGCCACGAATTGAGAAGTCCTCTTCTGTGAAGGACTCTGACCAGACAAGTGGCCTCAAGAAGCCCATCATTAGTGTTGTTCTTACAGCTCATGAAGCTATACCAGGTATGGGCAAGCTGGGACAATTGGGAAAATTTTGGGACAACTGTTTAATTTATCCCAGGACACGAGGCACTAATACCTTTAAGCTAAAATTCATTCTAATGTCTGTTGCATATTCAGAAACATTTGGCACTAGGCCGTGAATAAACGTAAGGTGCGCTGTACATCTGAAAAGTGAATTGGAAAAGGTACAAATAGAAAAATTCAAATAAAATCCAGCCACTGGGGCTGCTGTCTGATAGTTTTGATTAATATACACCATGTTGTTGCTGCCAATATAACCAGTAGATGGCATTCTTCTACTATAATTAAAAAGGCAATTTTTGATTTATCTTCTGCATCTTATGTTTTCAAAGTTTTTTTACTGTGAAAAGTGTCTTTTATGTATTGTGAAATTATAAAGCTGTTTTACAATGTCGCTTTTAAAGTTGCAAACATATGTATAGAACTATAAAGTTGCAGAATCTTATTCTTCTGCATGTATTGTGTTTGTTGTTCAGAACTATAATTGAGTATGAAAAAACAATCACAACAATAATAATAATCAAGCTGTAATCTGTGTAACTTTACTTCTAGGTGCTACAAAAATTGTTCCAATCGAGGCCTCACCTGCAGAAACTGCTCCAGTTGTAGATTCAGAGTCAACTGGCCCAGACACAGGTTTAAAAAGGGGCTATCAGGAATATGCTATACAACAGACAGCGTATGAATTGCCACTGAAGTCCAACAGGTATGGCAGTCTTGTCTCACTGAAGAGTTCATAGGGAAAGAAAGAAAATATAAGTTAATAAACTAATGTGATCAATTATTTGATCACTCTCACAACATCTAAAATCTTGTTTTCGGTAAATAATAATAATAATAATAATAATAATAATAATAATAACAACAACAACAGTGACTAACTTTGGACAGCAGAGGACACTGTTGTACATTCTTTGAAAGCTATCTGAGTGCTTTATTTGAGTAGCATACATTATATTGTATTGCAAGTCAAGAATATTGATACATCAATAATATATTGAAAGTGTGGAATACACAGTATTGTTCATACATTTTAGAAGGAGCACATACAGAGACACTGGGGAAGAGAATAACTGTTCTTCAATGCACTACATTGATTCACTAGTATTCTTACATCCCTGAATAGAAAATGTGTCTACTGTTTTATACTATATGGTAAAAATTAATAAGGAACTTGTCTACATGAAAGTATTTCATTATTCCACCTGGAAAACTATACAATTTGGTAGATGTTCTGCATGGTAACTGCTCAGTTAACTTAGAAAATGTATTAAATATACTAATTTCTGATTGTTTTAAAATATACTTTTATTCCACTTATCATAAGGTTTAAAAATTACATAGTATGCTGTGGTAGGGTTATTCTTCCCCTCTCATGCTTGCTTTGCAAATGAATTGCATCCCTCATTGTTTCCTGTTAAAAAGTATTAAAATATTAATGTGTACCCTAAATCATAAGTATAATGGCTATTAAGTTTGTTCTCCCTTATACTAGGGAAGCTGGTGAACTAGGCAGTGTGTGAGTTACCTGCAGTGTTTAGAGATCATTACAGTATAGGATGTTAGCTTGTTTTTAAAGAAGAAAGTAACAGTGCCTAAAGAAAATCTACACCACCTTGAACTTTTTCACATTCTGTCGATTTTATGTGGAATTAAATGAGGGATGTTTTCCCTCAGTGTTTTTCTATAGACTGCAATTTTAAGGGGCACTTCCATCTCAGTTTCAGCTTTTTTGCAGAAGGTAGCATGTTTTCCTAAATAACTTTTTTGTAGTTTGCTCCATTCATTTTCCATTCTATCCTGATAAGGATACTGTCCCAGTACCTGTGAATGAGAAACATCCTCAAAACATGATGTTGCTACTACCATGCTTCCCAATAGGGATGCTGTTTTCTGGTAATGTGTTGTGTAGGGTTCAGTCCACACATAATACTTTGAATTTAAGTCAGAAAGTTACATTTTAGTTTTGTCATACCACAATACCTTTTGCCACTTATTTGCACTGTGACTTTAATGCTTTAATTTGTTTCTACCTTTGAAATTTGTATATACTCATCCCCTGATCTGTGTCTTTCAAAGTTTTTGGAAACTCCTTGGTGGTTATGAGTTACTTTACTTTGAAATGCACTACACAGAGGAATTAACTAGTGAATTTATCCTGAAATCTTGTGAATCAATACAGTTGAACCAAGGTGGAGACCAGTTAACTTGGTATGTCATTTGTAAGCTGATTGGTTACACCTGAACTAATTTAGGATTTCTGTTATAAGGGGTGTAGGCATATTTACACATATTCTTATTATGAACATTCAGTACTACAAAGTATGAAATTGTTACAATCCAACTTCAATACCATGAAGAAGTGCTGTGAAGAAAAGTTTTCAAAACCTCCACCAAAATGTAGAGTGAAGAGGAACAGTTTCATATTGTGTGTGTGTGCATCACATTCTATGAAATAGTATGGGTGAATCTCTAGCACAGAGACTGGAATAGCAGGAGAGGCATGCATGATACAGATCACTGCGTCTTGCTTCGTGCATTGTTCGCTATCCTGTGTGCTCTTACTTTTCATGTAAGAATATTTGTGGTTTAGGCTTGATCATGGACCCCAAAGGTGTTAAGAAAATGAGAATTATGGGTGTGTGTGTGTAACTACACAAAAAGCAAATGAAAGTGGTTACTTTCCAGTGGTTAGGTATGACTAATGATGTCTAGCTAGGTAGGTAATGTTTTTTATTTTATTATAAAAACTCAAACCACGGTATGAATGCTAGTTATTATTGTTTTTTGTTGTCATTTTCGGTCATTTTGATTTAAAAAAAAAAGTAATAGTTGGGGTAACAGTTTTGGGGTCTGGAACATATTAAACCCATTTACAGCTTTTGTAAGAAATAATGAGAGACAATGATCTGTTCAGGGATTCAGAGATATCAGGAGATTACAATTAAGAAGTAGGATTCTCATCCTCAGTCTTTCTGCATATGGTGTTTCCAAACCCTGAACAGCGCTGGTGATTTCAAGTAACTGAAAAGAAGCATATATTTGTGTTCTCTAAAATGCCTTTCAAGCAGTCATTTAATCAGTTTAATGTACTGTAGAAAGCTCAATTAGAAATTACTGGAGAGGGAAATTTTGAAATACGGAAGCAACAATTTTGTTTGCGTAAAATAACACTGACAACTACAGTGAATTCATAAGAATTAATTGGGTATATGTTCATCTCTATTAACAAAAAAAAATCCAGTTAACATATTTGTGTTATTTGTACCCTCCACAGGCTGGGACAAACACAGCTTAAAATCTTCACCTGTGAGTACTGCAACAAGGTGTTTAAGTTTAAGCACTCCTTGCAAGCCCATTTGCGCATTCATACAAATGAGAAGCCTTTCAAGTGTCAGCATTGTGACTATGCCAGTGCGATCAAGGCCAATCTAAGCGTTCACCTGCGGAAGCACACGGGGGAGAAGTTCAGCTGCGAGTACTGTGCCTTCAACTGCCTCAGCAAGGGGCACCTCAAAGTGCACGTCGAGCGCGTGCACAAGAAGATCAAGCAACACTGCCACTTCTGCAAAAAGAAGTACTCTGACGTCAAGAACCTGCTGAAACACATCCGCGTGAGCCATGACATGGAGGACAAGAAAGTGAAAGACTCCTACGACGAACTTTGTCTCCAAACCAGAGAAGGCAAACGGCAGCTGCTCTACGATTGTCACATTTGTGACCGCAAGTTTAAGAATGAGCTGGACAGGGACCGCCACATGATGGTTCATGGCAGCCAGAGGCCTTTTGGCTGCGAACTCTGTGACCATGGCTCCACCAAGTACCAAGCGCTGGAGGTTCACATTCGCAAGCATCCCTTCATCTACATATGTGCCATCTGCCTGCTCAAGTTTGTCAGCTCCGTCAGGTTGAAGGTGCATATCCGAGAAGCCCACAGTGATTTGGAAGAGTTGGCGGTTTTCAGTGATTCCATCAATCAGAGCTTCTGTCTCCTAGAACCCGGCAGCGATGTCCAACGGGAAACACTAAAACAGGAAGAGTTGCAGATGACTGAGGAGCTGTCTCTCTTGAACACCCAGGACGGGTTTGTTCCAGAGCTTGGAACAGCTGAAGTAGTTGCAGCACCTCAAACAGACGAAGGCTTAGCCGTAGAAGGTCATCTATTGGTGCAGGAAACTGGGTTTGCAGAAACGATGGCAAGCTTTTCTCAAGAGGTCTGCTCAACACAGAATAGTCAGATACAGGAGACTAAAGTGATACATTTAGTTGAAGGTCCAGTGCAGCCTAATTTGCCAGAGCCTAATAGTGAAAGTTTGAAGCAGGACACAATTTCTGAACCAGCCAACGAGAAGCTATTGCAAGAGGAATGTAACCAGCACATGGTCGAAAGCTCTTGTGCTGTTGAGAGCACCAGTCATGTTCTCCTACCAGTGCCTTTGGAAACAAGCACCACAACAAGCAAAGAAGAATTATCTTACAGTCAGCAGCCGGCTGAGCATCATGTTGTTTTACAGGAAGAGTCATCATCAGCCAAGCAAAATACTGACAAAGCACGTGAAGGAACACCTGAAAATGTGGAAACCACAGGGCAGGATGAAATTTTGCCAAATGGAGAACTTGCAGAGACAAACTTAACATCAAACGCTAAAGAAGAAAGGACAGCTTTCAAGCAGATTGTGGACAGCATGCAAAAGAGACAACTGAACATGGAAGTCTTTGAAAAGATACGGAAGGTTTATGGGGATCTGGAGTGTGAATACTGTGGTAAGATTTTTGTTTAATATAAAATTTAGGTTGAACTTAAACCAAATATGAGTACTGATCTGTAGATTTATGTTGAATGTGATGCAAGGCAACATTCTGTATTAGAATCCTTGAGGTATAAAATTGATTTTCCCCATTATTCATATTTTAATGTGCTGCCCAAGACAGTATAGCATTCATTAGCAATTAAAGTAAGATGGCGGGTGTCCTAAGACTACTTTATAAAGCACATAGTGTTAGAAAACATTGCTCCTTAAGCATAAGCCAGCTTTTTGGTTTCAGTGACTGTATTACTTACAATGGCTTTGGCGGTGATTCTGTGATTTGAGAAGAAACAGGTACGTTAATATTAAAGTTCCTCAGCATTATTTTTTTTTCTTCACTGAGAAATTGTAAATGTTTAAAATCATGTTTATTGTAATTAAAGGCCAAAGCAAATTATATTTACTGTAGATGTTAAACGTTTCTACATATATTCACAGTATCAGTTTCATAACGATTTTTTCAGATTTGCATTAGATAATGATGATCTTGACATTACCAACTAAAATGCTCTTGTACTCTTTGCCGTGTTGTAACTTTTCAGTTTGTTACACATTGTATTGAGATTTGTAAATTAGGGATTTTGTTTACTTAAAAAAACATGAAGGCATTTCCTTTTACTCTTTCTGGCTTTATTATTCAACCAAAATGTCATAATGGGGGCATTTGGTTTCACAATGATAACATGAATGAGTGTTCTGGTTGATTAGGTTTTTTTATTAATTCCTTACATTTTGCTAATTTAGCCAGGTGTGTAGCGTACTTACTGTATAAAGTGGTACATTTTGTAGCAAAATATTCTATGTCCCATTAGGGAGTGGAATGACAGTGTAGATCTCCGTTTGCCCCTAAGCAATCTATTGAGTATGTCACCTCCTGCCCTGTGGGCAGGAAAGTTATCAACTGATTGAGAAAAACACTGGAGAGTTTTCCTGCTTCATCTTGTTTTGCTTTATGCATCTTCTGCCATTTTGTGGGACCTAAAGTGCACTTATTGAAGGCCACTGGAATAGAAATTGGTATGTTAATTATTTTGGGTTTAGGAGTTCTGTGCAAAGCCTGCCTACCTCACATTATATAACGTCCCTTCATTTAATGTTTTTTTTCTTTAGTTTTTGCTTTATTGTCATTGCCAGTGTATATAATTTTACCTATTATGGTCCCATTTTGCTCCAGATTCCATTTTATTAAAGGTTTCACTAAATCTGTCATTACATCTTCTCCTGGCAAGAAGAATTGCAGCTCCATCTTCTCAATTATTGGTTTTGGTTTACAACTGTCTCCATTATTGAGCTTGAAATATGCTGAGGATGTGGTCATGGCATCATTGCTAGTTTGTAAATATATATACAGTAAATCAGGATGAATATTGAAGCTTGAAAATAACTCAAATGTTCATGTCTCCAGCAGTTTGCTGTAAGTACATATAATTCTAAAATCTGCAGAGGGTTGAAAATTACTGCCCATGCAATATTTGCTTGGCTTCACATTTCCCTTGATGAAGGGCCAGATCCAATTCTCTGTACCCGTGTAACAAACTTGTCCTGTCAGTCTCATTTCTCTTTACTTTCACATCACTGTATTTTTTTTTTTCTCATGAGAGTGGCCGGGCCATGTATTAGATCTTTCTGCATTTCAAAAGAGCCAGACTGCCACTCAAACCTATATGATATTCTGTAGGTCTTTCAGATTTTTGAAATTCTCTTTTTTAATCATAAAGTTGAATAAAGTCCTTGATTTAAGTTGCTTATTGTGGAAGACCTTATTATTTATAAGCGAATTGAAATTAAATAGCAAATCTCTCAGAGTGTTTTTAAATTAATGATACTTTAACAGAAGTGCTATTAATTTTAGGGCACTTTCCTAGCTTTCTTATCTTAAGGGAGGTGTAACAATTTTCCTTATCTAATCTTGCAAATCATTTTGAACAGAAATGGTTTTAAAATGCTTTTAATGTTTCATTCATCTGAAAAAGTAATTTTTCCAGCCTGCACATATCTTAGTTATTGTTTGGAACGCTCAAAAAAGATTTTATGTTGATTTTATTACTTCAGTTTCTCTTTAGATATTTTTTCTCCAATGGTTAATTACATTTTTGGGACTAATTGTGTTTTTAATGACTCCTTTAAACACTGCAGTGTGAGACGGTAAAATAAAATATTTGATTCCTATTACTCTGAAAGAAGTTCGGTATAGCTTGGATTGAAAATAACATTTCAAATAATAAATAAGATTTGCTTTGCTCTGCTTTTTTTGTTACCTTGCAGGTAAATTATTCTGGTATCAGGTGCATTATAACATGCACATTCGCACTCACACCCGTGAGCATCTACATTACTGCTCCCAGTGTAACTACTCTTCCATCACCAAGAACTGCCTGAAACGACATGTGATTCAGAAACACAGCAATATCCTCCTCAAGTGTCCCACAGAGGGGTGTGAGTATAGCACACCCGACAAGTACAAGCTACAGGCACATCTAAAGATACACACCGACATGGTGAGCTTTATTTTTACATTTGTTTGATTGTTGTCGTGTCTTTTTTTTATCTACTAGCACTCCCTGAAGCTGTATGATCTGTTATAGGAAGTGTTGTGTTGCGTCGTGTCCTTAAGGTGTGACAGCATTGTATGTTCAAGAGGGTTGACTCATTTGTTTGTAACTAGCCCTTCATATCTTTGAGCTTTAGGTGTCCTTCACAGTTTTATTGACGGCCCACCGATGGAGAACCATTCTCTAGTGGCAATGTGGGCACCCTCCTTGAGTTTTTTTCAACATCAGTTTATAATTTGTATTAAAAAATTAATGTTGTCAGTACCCTTACAAGTCAATTTCAGTTATCATCACCATTATTTTTTCATAGAAATGGCATGTTCTATCATGTTAGAGTTTTCTAAAAAGAGTTCTGACAGGGGAGGGACCTGATGATGTGATGAAGCCATCCAGCTGGAGTATTTCATATATACTCAGAATAAGGACAGTAATGTGGCACTTAATCAAGAAATAATGACCACATTTATTTTCAGGGAAACAAGGTATGCACCAACCATGTTTAATTAATATGGGTTCTAATGAAAAGGTGTTGGGCACTTTTTCTTGTTGTTTTACTAAAAACATTTTTCTCAACATTGACTGTGTTATCAGGAAAGCTTCTTTAACAAGCGGACTAAAGTATTTCCAACATATTTCTTTCTGTTTCTGTTGACATCTTGCCACCATGTTGTTCAATAGGCTCCTACACAGTATTTAACATTCTCAAATTTATAGTTTGTTTCAGCATGATAAAATGATTAAATAATATTCTGTGCTGATGAAAGGTAAATGGAGACAAGATTGAAATTAAAAAATACTGTCTTAAGTGCTGGAAATATTGTGGAAATTCATCATATAGTTGTTAAAATATTTTTTTTCCTTGATAATTGAGGTATGTAATCCATAGAAAAAAATAATAGTAAATTATAATAATAGTAGTAGAAAAAAACATTTCAAACTTGATGCTTATAAATCTTCACATCCCTCATTTTTTATTAGACATCTGTAAACACCATTTTATTTATTATTTAAAATAATAACATAGGTCTTTTGATTTTTTTCAAGAATGTACTTATTGTGGGTTCCTTAAAACAGTCAAGTGAATTTAGTTTGATTTTGTTGTTTAGAGATTTGTGTCTGTGCATTGGGGTTAGTTGATGAAAGTAAAAATGTGTTTAAATGCTGGAGGGAATTTTGGATATTTTTCAAAGCACAACAGCAGAAGTCATGTAGATCTGAGTTAATTTAAATATGCAGTTTACGTGGTTGGAATGGGCATTTTAATTAGAAGATAAGTAAAAAATGCAAAACAAAATCTAAAAAGGAAGCAGCTGAGGTTAGAAAGAGGCAAGTACAGTCAGCAGCAAAGCTGCGATTCTGAGTTTTGCCTGTGATTAAATTATTCAGCAAGGAGATTTTTTTTTAATCGGAATTGTGGGATTAAATTTTCAATTTTCAAAAAAAGCAAAGACGTTATCTGACCTTTAAGATCGAAAGATATGCAGTGTATGTCCTGGAATCTCAAAAACAATGAGAGATTTGTTAAATAGCACCTTGTATGTAATGTCTATTTTATGTTGACTATGTATTTTGAATTTTTGTTTGCTCGGATGTTTGGGTCTCTGATTTCTATATTTACAGTGCCTTGCAAAAGTATTCCAGCTCTTGCATATCATTTCATAATTTGTTGCTTTAAAGCTTGCAGTCATGACATTTTAAATTAGGAATTCATATTTGTAATCTCCACAATGTATTCCATGCATTCTAAGCAAAATAAAAAAAGAAACAAATGAATAGATCATTAGTATGAAAGACTCTTAGAAAAATCATGATTGCATAGGTGTTCAATCCCTTTGCAGTGGCAAACCTATATTAATTTAGAGTTCCGAAAATGACCTTAATAAACAACACAGTTAACTGAGTTGCCTCTGCCTGTGTGCAAGTGAAACTTTTTAGTGTAATTGGGCAGTGTTATCTGGCGCAGTGTTGCCAACACAGCACTTTGCCCAGTCATCACCATCAATAAGCATGATGGTGGTAGCATCACAATATGGTGGTGCTACTCGCAAAAGAATGGAAAGATTGTTAGGACTGAAGGAGTAAGAGATGGAGCAAAGAACAGGCTAATTCTTGAGGAAAATCAGTCTCTGCTGAAAACTTTAAAGTTAAGGAGAAAATTCACCCTTCCACAAGACAGTTATTCAAAGCTCAAAGCCACAAATACTGTGAATTGAATAGGTTTAAGAAGGTGAATATTCTTGAAGGGTCCAATCAAAGTCTTGACTTGAATCTTATTGAAAATCTATGGAAATACCTTAAAAACTGCTGTCCATGAGTATTCCCTAAGCGATTTGAGAAAGCTTGAGCAAAACTGCCAAGAAGAATGGACAAAAACCGTACTAAGCTGTTGTTCAAAAGTAGGTGGAGGCTTACTCAAAAAGACTTAAGACTGCAATTGTTAACAAAAATGCTTCCTGCCAACATTAAGTCCACAGGTCTGACGATATCTGCAAACAACATATTTCATTTTTTACATTTTAGTTTTTGCTGACATTTACAGGAACATATTTTACCCTTAGAGGTCTTCAGGGTGAATTTACAAGTTGTGAAAAAATGTGTATGCATCATTTTGTAATTTCACAAACTAAGATACCATAGGAAGGCCTGAGTACTTCATATACTGTACTGGCAGTCGGTTCTGCTTTTCCTCATATACTGAAGTTAATAATTTCTCCATTTTATAGTGATGACCTGCTTGTTTTCTACACTTGTAGTCGTTTTCATGGACATCTAGAATGTGGTCTCTCAGATACAAAGAAAGACTAGCTGATGTTTGGGAATTTTTTTTTACTCTCACTTTGGTACTTGGTAGGCGAACTCTTGGTTACTAGTACATTGACTTTGGTATTTCCCATATGGAACATTTTTAGTGTGATAGCTCTTACAGTACATACACAGTATGTGTTAGCAAAATATTTTGGAAGGACAAGTGGATGACTTATATTTTAATCTAAACATTTATAGAAAGCATTCGTGCACTTTTTTAAAATGTACAATTTATACAATAGCCATACTGTTTACAAATAATCACTTAAAACCAGTGAAGAACATTTTCCTGTGATTTAAATAATTTTATTTCTGACATAAGGAAATCAAAAGTACCAATTTTTGTGTGCTCCAAATGAAACAGTGAATGTTTTAAATTTTTCTTAGGAATATGTATCTTCTGATAAAACTACTTGCATGAAATGCATCAAAAGCACTATCCCTGCTTTCATATAATTGTTTTTATATTGCATTTGCATTTTTAAGTGTTAAAGTAGTTTTTTGCATGAGGTACCTAAATATTATTAAATAATATTGTGGTTAGATAGGAGAACAGTGGCTTGGCAGTTACTCACTGTCGCACAGTTACTCACTGTCGTTGAGTTGGTCTGTGGGCTCTTCCCATCTCCTAGATATGCTGGATGGGTTTTTATTGACTTTTCTGAATTGTCCCTTGGTTCATTATCCTGTCCAGATGTGAGAACATTTCTATTTCTATTTTACTTGATATCCAATGCTTCCAGAATGGCCTCTGTCTTGCCGGTTGACTTTTACAATGTTGTTTACTTTTACATTAATGTAGTTTGTGTTGTTCGCATTTTTACATTCTCAATGATGTACGATTGAAATTGGAAAGAAATATCTGCAATTTTTTTAAGTGGCTTGGAATAAATTATAATGTCTCTTTTTTAACAAGTTACAGTTGTTTTGGATTAGTCATCACAGATTAGTCATACGTGAGAGACGTAGATCAAATCAATTGACTTCTGTAAGTAGTGTAGTTACATGCTTTGGAAGAAAAAGGCACAAGAGCTCCTGTACTATGTACTAAGCATAGTACTGTGTATATAGCACAGTATGGTATAGTAATATGTACAGCACAGATATACAGTACATGTAGTACATTTATAGTATAGTATTGCACATATTACAGTGTGCATAGTACTGTATTGTGGGATGGTCTTGTGGTACAAGGAGGTCAGGAACTGCAGATGTTTTTAGGTTCTGCAGGTTTGTTTTTAGGGTCTTCTTACTTCCCAAGATAGAATTTACTTTGTACTCCATCTGAGTACTGGAGCTTGTTACACAACCTGAGATGAATTTCATCAACATATAGAGACAAGAAGGCTATTAAAAACAAAGTTATGCGTTCTTTATTGGTTTTGTCATATTGGCTTTCATCAGAAATTCTTTAGAACAACCATGACATTTTTAATCTTGTCACAATTTATGCTACTGGCACAACACAAAAAAAAGATAGAATTACAGTTAAAATAGTTTATGTTGAGCCAGGGAAACAAGCACATTTAACAGGCAAAGATTGGAGCCCACACCACAAAGGTAAGTGTAGTGGGGAAAACATGAAAAAAAATAATTTGGCTGAATTTGTAAAGTCTTAAAAACAGAAGTCTGAGGCTTGGCTTTTCCTGAAGCTGTTCATCAAGACATTAGAATTATATTTATGGATAAGTCATAAATTCTGAAAAGAGTATTGGTAGGTGTCTTCAAGTCTTTGCTAATGTGATATTGTCCTTGTAAAGGCAGGCCTGGCTTTCTTACTAGAGGACTTTGTTTCCTAATTGATAACTATTCTACTTTAAAAATATTTTTGTATTTTTTTAAAACTTTCCCCCTATTTATTTTACTGTTTACTGAAGTACTGTTTCACTATCACCATATTCTTTCCACAGAGATTTTGTTTGATTATAATGTTTCCGGTTTGGTGACAGTTGTTCCAGTTTATTTTATTGCCTAACAAAAACCCTGAGCCTTGTAATATATTATATTTGAATCAGCTTCTTTGTTATTAATGAAGGTCACCCATTTTTTTTTTTAAACCATGGTCTGAATTTTGTTCGGCATTACAGAGAAATAATACAGACATCTTCCTAAGACTCTGAAGCAGCACTGCTGGTATTTAA